TGGATATCTGCCTGAGTCGTGTATGAAAAGTATCGAGCGATTCTTGATCTCCCTGACGAGTTTCACGAAAACGATAAAATTCATACCGTCGATTTTTCTGAGGCTCGAAGTACTCAATGAGCTTGGCTTTTGTTGTCGCAAAGTTGTCTTCATCCCCTTCTCCGTTGACATCACTCAACTGGTTAAAAATTTCTCGAACTTTGGGTCCAGCTTGGTAAAGTAACAAAGCTTTCTGGCGCTTAGCGTCTCGAATTCCGCTAGCCACAAGAAAAGTATCAAAATCACGTAGCCAAAGTTTCCATCTGGCAGCAACACTCGCTCCAAGTTCAGCATTCGGGTCGAACGGTGGTAATGGATTGAGTTGTACAGACATTCTCGTCGCCAATGTTAAGATGTGAAGGAGATAGAACAACGCATGGGTTGAACAGAAACAAAACGATAACTTTATATTAACTTCAAACGGCCTACACACATAACTGTAATACTGTCAACTGTAATCTGAAACTATATAAACATGGGTCACATAAAGTAATGCTCCTGCGCATAGTCAATTAGGTTACTACACTTAGGTTCGTGGAGTACTTCTAAGGGAACAACTCCGCTCCCCGTCTTATGGCCCACCTTGTCACAGGCAAACTTTTCAACCTTCGCGTTTTTGTGCTGGTGTTACAATCTTTCTAGTATATTCTAATAGAAATTAACATAACGAGAGTGGTCAAAGTGGCCATCAATTATCGATAAGATTCTATAATGTTTTCTTAGATTTCAGGGCACTTCTTACCCCCTTTCCCCTCTTCAAGAGGGCAGGAGGGGCAGCTGCCCCTCCAGCCCCCCGGTGTAGGCGCCCCTGGCTGGAAGGTGGCGTGATTTTCTCTATATAAACAGGACCTTAAATAAATGAAAATGTGATGAAAAAGAACTTTTTCCTTAAGGTTTACCTTGTAATTTTTTTTCTTTTCTTATTTCGTCAAATAGTATGGTTTGTCAAACGGTGTCCTTAACCTGCACTTTTGAGTTTTCTTTTCCTGCTTTTAACTATTACTTAATCAACTGATTTTACGTATAAAATATCAAGAATTAATCTTCCAGGAAATGCCAAATCGCCAAAGCTGTTTTGAATTTGAATGCAACATTTCAAAAATTGAATTGTTTTGATTTTAGATTGCAAACTGTCGCCTGGTTTGTATTTGAAGCACAAGTTGACTACATTGAGTTACAAAAATGTAACACGACTATTTTCGTCAGCGATAAGATTTTTATAACCAAAACCGTAAACCGGAGCTGGTATTGTGCATACGATAGGAGACTCATAATTTCCAATATGTTCGTATTCAACAATGTTTTCTGCATAAAAATATATAACTCCTGCGTTTAAGTGATTGACAGAAATCTCGGATTGCATGTCGATAAAATCACAATCTTTCTTACCAAAATGGGACGGAACCAAAGGTTTGCAGCTGAAATCTTTTTCTTCGATTTTCTTTATTGGTGGAAGAAACCAAGAAAAGTTATCGGTATAATCTTGTTTGGTACCTAGACGACCGGGTGTAGGAAAAAATCTTCCAAAATGGGGAGAAGGTATCATTAATTTTGGCACTGTCGTTTTATCAACTGGATATTTAACTTTTACAACTTTTCTTTCTCCTTGAGCAATTGCCCCCTTGTAAGAATGAATCTTAAACTGTTGGTAAGGGTCCTCTGAATATACTCCTGCCTACGGGAGGGGTATGTTCATTTTTTCAAAACCACAAAGGTTTTTTAAAAATTGATCCAAATGCTATATATTTTAAAGAGAGTGGACATTTAACTAATCATGATAAATATTTATCTTTATTCTGGATGCATGAATCCGTAATTTGAAAAATTAAGAGTGCATCTTGAACACTGTTCCAACATTTCTTTCCCCCCCTCCCCTTTTTTTACTTTTTTATTACTTCTACTTTTATACACCTTTTTTTACTTTTGAAGACGAAGGCTTAGATGGATTTTGTTTTGTTGTGCAGAGGTACGGAAGCCCCATTAGGCAAACCGTAGCCGACCCCCCCCCCCTACTTTTTCACTAAAGTATGATATCAAGGTTGTGGCATCAAAGAAAATGGTGGCAAGCTACATAAGAAGCCCCACCCCCCACTTTTCTAGCGCCCCCACTCAAATATGTGCTCCGGGTTCCCTGTTCATTGTGTACTTCTGTGGTCTGATCGTTGTAATTCTCATTTAGGAAACAAGTCCTTCAAAGCAAATACGAATTGTTCAGCTGTTAAATGGTGATGTTTTTTGCTTTGGAGTGGTGGATGTAAACGATCTAATACTTTTAAGAAATTTGTCCTTAGAACAGAGGCAATGGGTTTCCCTCCAAATGGTCTTTCGATTTCGTGTACAGCCTTTAAACTATAATTGTTTTCTTTCATGATGTTCAATTACCAAATCTTGATAATGTGAATTAATGTATGTTAGTAAACAAAACCCAAACATTTGAGGTGAAGAATCGGCAAGTGGTTCGTTTTGCAATGGTCTGACTTTCGATCAAATGGTGCAAAACTTGTCATATGTAAAATAGGATAAAATTTTAAAATCCAATTAAAATCTCTATTGGGCCATAACTTTCAAACTTTTGTGACATGATACCTCACTTATTGACTTGAGCATGACTTTGTAATTTGATCAAGACAACCCAGGGTGAGATTTAATGCATACCATAGGTATTTGTTGAGTTGTTTATTCTCAACCAAACTAATTCCATTGTTTATAAAATTTAAAACATATATCGAGAATTCATGATCCTTATTTATACCAGTTTCGAGAAAATGAGCCGTTTATATATACTAATCATCGGAAAATACCCGTGTTGATATGGAAATCACGAAAAGACGCTATTCTTTATGGCTGGCAAGTCACCAATCTCAAAATGAGCCTCCTCCCTCCACTAAATTGCTAAGGCATCAATTAACTTTCGTATTAGGTATCCTCAGATATTGAAAAAATGTCTCTTGCTTTTGGTGGGTTAATTTACTTTGTAATTGGGCATTGAAAAACAGCCAGTATGTGATGAAATGCCCGCCCATACTCTTTTAGAAAATCATGAAAAACTGGCCACTTTAGCTCTTATATCTTTAGCTCTTCTTTTTTAGCCCTTATATATTTGCCAACCTTGCAAAAGGCATATGCTGCCTGAGAGAAAATAGTTCAGAGATTAAATGACGCAAGTGTTGTGGTGTTCTAGATAATAGTCACTATATCAGAAGAAAGCCTTTCCTTAACCCTATCCCTATCCCTGGACGACTTTGACGAATGCCTCAATTCTGAAAGTTCTTGGCATACGGCCTTGCGCACTGTTGCAACCTTACTATTTCATCGCTGAGATTATATGTTGTGAAATGAAAGCATATATGCTATTACCACAAAATCGCGAGATAAAATACGATAAGTACGGTTGGGATTAAATGGAGGGGGTTTCAAAAATCATTAAATATATTCAAAATTGATTTCAAACAACAATATTGGATCTTTCATGACGTCATCGAGATGAATAAATAATTTCCTAAGTAATAAATGGGAAAAAATCGCTTCAGCTCAAGACCTGGAGAATGCCTTCGTTTGATGTAAATTAAGAATCCCTACTCAGCAACACAGCACTAGGTACCCCCTAAGAATATTTTCTAGCGCCACCCCTAGCAATAAACGCAAATCTTAAAAACATCTAAAAAGTCAAACCAACGCAACAATGAAAAGTTAAGAAAGTACAGCAAGAAAAGAAAATGCCACTCGGTTAACTCCTCATTATAAAGCTCAAAATTTAATGTAAACAAGCTTAAAAATTTAGCCAACATTAACTTAATTAGTATATAAAACGATTATTATAAAATTCATGTCTGACATAATATTATAATTCTATTTCCGAATTATCAATATTTTAGAAGGCAAAAAATTTCGTCGTGACCGAACTTTGTCTCGTTTATTTGTCCTAAATTTGTCTGGAATAAGAAACGAAATTTTGTTCGTTAACGTAACTGGAATGGTCTTTATAAAATGCGATATAAATTGGGAAAGGCCGTCAATCTAAAATATATTATTTAGGATTCCTGTTTAGCCCCTTAATTTTCCTTTCTGTCTTTATTCATGATAAGCGGTTGGATATATCTAAAGATGATACAACTGCGCAGTAGGCATACTTCTGAATGACCGCGAATTTTGAATTAGATACTTTCAGAATGGCTCAACGGAAACTAATTCATGAAAAGCTTGACAGAAACTTCTCCCCAATGTTTTCAGACACCAATACAGCCTTAAAATTAGGCAACCTGAACAAAGTAAATACCATTGGTTGTGACAAGACTTGGTCTACGGCATTGGAGTAATTTTGGTAAGGATTGGCCTATCTGTTGACGTAACAATGGCTTACCAAAGTTCAGATCTGAATCCTCTTTCAGTGTTAATGTTCAAAGGAAAATACGTAACATCATTCAAATTCGAGAAAACATTATTAAGCCAATCCTACGCTAAAGTGTATACCAATGGCGTAGGCCACCTTTTGTCGCAACTCCGAAACCCGGAAGAATTGAAATCGCGAATACTGAAATTCAAGTGAAGCGTTCAGTTCCTTTCTTTTTTTATTTTAATTTTCTTTGGAGGTTCGTCATCGGTTTCTGAAGAGTATGATCTTTTCTTCTTCTTTTTCTTTGACTTTTTTGGCTTTGTGATGGTTGATGAAGGTGAGGACGAAGATGATGAAGATAGTTCATCGAGTAGTGTTTCAATTAGACTTGAAACGGGTGGAGTTGGTTGCGAAATGGAAGAATACTGGCGGAGGAGTGGAATAAGATGTAACAGATTGTTTGAATATTTGAAAGCTGGCTCAGGGTTTGGATGTAAGGTCATTTTATTAGCGTAGTCAACAGGGTTGGATATGAGTACTTGTGCAACCTTGAATTGGATTGCCAAGATAAAGAGGGCACATCCAACTTCAAGAGCAGTATCCAACTGTTTGTCCAGTTGAGCTGATGTAGAAAGCATCGCTTTCAGGAGGTCCCTGCATTGGTTTTCGCTTGGATTCATTGGACTGTCTTTATTAAATGGCGCGAGTTGTGTTACAAAAGGCTGAATATTTTTTAAAAAACTTGCCAACCTCTTCGTGGTAAAAAAATCTGCCTTTTCTTTCAAAAGATCGGTGTTCCCCTGCATTGTTGCAGCCAGCTCAGAAACTGCAACGTGCGGACGCCTTAGCCATTCGCATCCCTCCGGTTGAAGCCGGGAGAGGGTCTTCTCCTTCGAGGGCATACCTTCTGCCCGGCCGTAAGGCCGTAGAAAGTTCTTCGGGAAATGGTTAAAGTACAACACCCCCGGAGTTTTTGGTGGCCTAGAAGAATTTGAATCATGATCCATCTAGAGAAAGAAAGAAGGGAATAGTACTTAAAATATAATTATAACGCGTTGTAATTAATGCCAAGCATTTTAAGGCAGAAAGCTTTGGACATTGCCATGACAATGCTGTGAATCTATTCTGGCAATTAAAAAATACTATTGCATTACTTCTATATTTGATAGGAATAAAAAAAGTCAATTTTTATAGATTTATCGAAAGCATCTCATCTTCAAAGACAGCACCAGAAGACAATGCTTACCAAAATTTTTCCCAATTAGTACAGCATTAAGAAAGAAAGCAGTTTTCAGGTAATTGCAAAAACAAGGATAATACGGGAACTGTTTCGCAATGAATCAATTTCTCCACTACGGGTATATGAAAGTTCATTCTACAGCATTTACAGTCACATTATCTCATTTCCGATTGGCCCATTTCGATTCAGAGCAACTGGGTATATATTTTCCCAGTCGACAGTTTTCGATCTTTGTTCTTACATTCAGTGGCGTACCCAGGGCTGCAGAAGTGAGGGCTCTGGGGCACAGCCCCCAAATTTTGTTGGGACCACGCCCTTCAAACACGTGCAAATATGGGGAAACGCTCTTTTTGCAAAATTTTCCCCCATTATTTGATTCATGTTAGCTATGGCAAATAGCAAAGCATTTTACAATTGTTATTGACACAAGCATACAGTATACTACCCCCCCCCCCCATGAGTCCTACATTGTTTTTGGACAAATCTCGAGGACCATATTTTAGAAAAATGGGGGGGGGGTCCCCCCATTCCCCCATTTGGGTACGCAACTGCTTACATTGTATAGGTTGCAAGAATTTCAGACGGAAAGCTTTAGTATGTTCTAAAATGTTTCCTTTTTTAAAGCTATATCTAGACATCTGTAGGCAATTACAGATCACAAACTGTATTTATTTTAAATGTCTGCAGGGCATAATCTAATCATTAACGTGGATGTCATGACTTTGCAATCATAAATTAAAATATTATTTTTCAACCACATGGAAGGCGACCTGATATTATTCATTATTGTGATATTATTCATTAAGTCTCACTCTATTGTCGCTTGAGCAAAATTGCCCAGAATAAATATTTTCTGCTATGATTAAGATTGGCAGCAGCATTATATTAAAAAACTCCAAAAAGGAATGGTTATTTCTACAGCAAAGGGATGGGTTTTTTAAAGAAATGAACTTACCGGAAAAAGGCAAGGCTCAAAACCTCTTTTCATATCGATTAATACCAAAGTGTCAGCTCTGTAATGTAAAGACAGAGTCATTTAATGGGTTCTTTATACCTTTACATGAATAAATGATAAAATAAACAGTAATAGATGCCCATGTAGCCTGACTTGGAAACAGAGAAACAACAAAAAATATTCACTTGACCTAACAGAGGTAGCCTTTAGAAACACCCAGTCGCCTTTGTAATGTTTTTTTCTACCGAAGGAAGTCCCTGTTTAAACTTTTAGTCAACTCTAAATGAAAAAGATTTGAAAATGTCTTGGCTTCATTAAGCAAATTTATTCAAATAAAATAGCCTACTTTCATCTAAAATACTATCAAAGAAAAAGGTTTTCTTTTCAGCAATTCAAGTCTTCAAAATATTTACTTACCAGAGAAACACAAGGTTTACGTTGTCCTTACTAGCGGAAATTTCGCAGAATATCAGCTCTATAATGTAAAAATACAGCATTATTAAAAATGGTTCTAATACCTCTCCGTGATTAATTGATAAAATAAAAAATAATAAAGACTCGTTTGCCATGTCTTTGAGCAGCAATACATCAATGATTCGTTAAACCCAACAGTGTATAGGGGTATCAAAGACAAACCCCAGCCGTTCTTTGAATTGTCGATTTTTACCGAAGGAAGTCTCTGTTCCAACGTTCAGTCAACATCAAATGGAAACTTTTGAAAAAGTTTTGGGTTCATTAAACAAATTGATTCAAATAAAAGAACCACCTTCAACTAATTTACATCAAAGAAAAAGTTTTTCTTTTCAACAATGAAATGGTAGTCTTCAAAATAGAAACTTACCAGAGAACCACAAGGTTCAAGATCTCTTTATATGCAAAATATCGCAGAACATCGGCTCTGAAATGTAAAAATACAGCAACATCAAACGGGTCTAGCATCATTAAGATCCCGCCCAACAGCAGTCCTTTTAAAGTAAACCCCTACCTTCGATTAAGCCCCCGCGGGCTGATACATTGTCTCGACAGAAATAGGTTTATCCCAAAATATCTATATTTTTAAGCACTCTTACCAGCAAGGAATAGAGCTGGAAAATTTTCCTGGTAGTTTTTTGGCTGCTGTTATATACGACCTCATCTTCAAATAAACTTCCAGGCTTCAACTAATGGGCAGTAGTTCCTCTTCTGCCTAATTCTATTCTGTAACCTAGGGGGCCTGGGCTAAACCCAATCAATTACATTGAAATTATGTCAATAAAAAATTAATTTTGTCATTCACAATTAATTTTAATCTCTTTTAAAGGTCAGGATTCGGGAAAGGAGGCAATAAATTTATTCCAAGATTCAAGGGGACAGTAGGCCATTTGTTAGAATAAATTTGATTCCAAAGACAATCGGAGGTCGCGTAAATTTGTTAACCGGAGGTCTCAAAAGCTGTTGTGTCATTTGAGATTCTTTTTATCGCCACCTTCCACGCTAGATTGCATTGAGATTTTGTCATATTGAGATTGCATTTGATATTTTCCATCAAATTGTTCATATTTACTAATTCCCAACACCTTTTAGAACTATATCTGTGGGGTAAAACGTAGTGAAACCATGTTGACATATGTTCTTAGGATTCTCCTTGTTATGACTTCCAAATGAGTTGTTTTTCTACTGATGACTCTCCTACACCTCTCGAACAGTTTAGATAGCCATACAAAGGACGTTTTTGATACCAGCTGTGGTTAGCTGATTGGGGCTGATTGTCGACTCCAACTTTTGTAATGGGAGAGAAACTCGAACAAATTGTCAATAACCCAACGGAGATGACAAAGGCTCGGTTCTGATTGGTTGTTAAATGGAGTGCAATCAAAACCGACAAGTGGACATTCTTTTGACTTTAAGCAGGAAGAGAGCTATGACCTGCAACAATGAGAACACACATGAAGAAACGAGAGATTCCTTTGCCGATAATCCGCAGCAGTGAAGTACATTTTTGCCTCAGTGAATAAATGCCTCCTATTTCCTTATTTTTAAACGCAGTCTTCGAGATTTCGGAAGTCATTCCACGTGAATGAAAGGACCCAAGGAATGCTTGTAATTTGCACCTTAAATTTTGGCAGGTCATTCAAAGAAGGTATCACTTGTTTTACGATTACGATAAGCAATTTGGAAGCCCTTCTAAAAAATATACCGCTACATGAAACTTGAATGCTTCTGTAGTTACTGAAGAAAACCTGTTTGGATACTTGAAAACCTGTCTTTTTGATTAAGTCATTCTATTTCAAAGTTACCCTTATCGACAATGATATGGTATTTTATCCATGATAAGGAAGTTGCAGAAACCATGAAGGATTATTTTTGCATTTGTTTGCATCTGAACACATTGTTAATTTCAGTAACCGTAAAAGTTCTGAAAAGCAGCCCCAGCCTTTGCACCGAATCGACGCAGTGTATTTTCTATATCTGCGTTTAAAATGGTGCGTTTATGGACTTAAAAAACCTGCAGATGTCACTTTCCTTGTAAGAAAAATTACGCACCCGGGAGCTTTGGTTAACTGTTTAGCAAAATTGCGATCTCACCTGGTTTTTAAATTTTTTCTTTTTTTTTAAAAATTTAGTTTCCTGTGCATAATAATCTCTGGACATAGCCTATGCATGATAAAGTAATTAAAACTACTTTGCTTCTTGCTATTTTTAGCTATTTTTAAATTTTAGCTATTTCTCTGTTGCATTTTTTCTATTTTTCAATTTTTGCTGGTATATAAAATTACTTGAGTTTAGTTGAATAAACTCATGTTTTTCTTACATTTTGGGCAAAACTCAGACTTGTGGCAAGCTTATTTATCGTCACTTCTACGTGGTTTTTGCACGGGGTACAAGGCGCACCCTGCAATGCTTCGAATGTTTGAAAAATGGAAGCAAGCTTAGAACATGGGAGAGAATGTGGCGGTATCCTAATGGATCTCTCCAAAGCGGTGAATTGTACTAGACATCACCTCTTTATGGCTAAACTAGAGGCTCACAGATTCAGCCTTGAATCATTGTGGCTTGTTAAAAAAGCTATTTAGAAAATAGGCATCAGAGAGTCAAGACTAATGGGTCATTCAGTACCTACAGTCATTACTCAAAGGTGTTCCACAAGAATCGGTTTTGGTCCCCTGTTCTCGAACATCTACATAAACTATCAACTGCTCTCCTTAATGGATACGATTAGCTGCCATTGCGCGAATGATACAACCACAAATGCGTGCGATAAGAATCTTAATAATGTTATGGTGAGGCTAGAGAATGATTCACCCAGAATATAAATATCTGTTTGCTGATAGTTTTATTAAGTTGAATACAAACAGCTGTTATTTGCTCATACTTGGCAGAAATTTTAGTCAGCAGGTCAAAATTAATACAGAAGATTCTATCATGGTAAATTCGAAAGAGGAAAAGCTACTAGATCTTGTCATAGACTAAAGACGCGTAAGACTTTTAAACACATATCAGTAAGGTGCGTAAGAAGGCTGGTAGCAAACTCTTTACCCTCGCGTCGATTTCTGGATAGATGGATTCTAACAAACTAAGAATCTTTATAAGAGCCTTCGAATTTAGCCAAATTCAATACTTCAACTAGTTTGGTTGTTCAACAGTAGGCACCTGAATGATAAGATACACGAAAGAAAACAGCCTTGAGAATTGCACACAAGAACTATGATGTCAGTTTCAACGCTCTGCTAGAAAAAGTTGACTCGGTAAATATTCAGCTAAAGAACCTGCACACTCTTGTTACTGAAATGTATAGTAAAAAGGAGATATCAACCCCCTTTTGTGAAGGAGATTTTTTGTGATTTGCGAGCCTCCAGTAATTCATAATCTGAGAATCAAGTGAATCACTTGGCGAAAATACACAATTTGATATGTGTAACAAGATAGGATATAAACCCCTTCTGAAAAATGCCCCTTTGTGCTATTTTTAGACTAGGGTACTTGTGCTCAGTCCACGGAACACGTTATTGTGTTAAATTCTTTCCTGTTAGCTTTACAACCAAGAAACTTTGAAAACTTACATAATTTGATATACCGAAAAAGTTAAATGTAATCTCTTAACTTGGAAATACCCCCTTGTGCTTTTTTCAGACAATGGGCACTTGTGCCCAGTCCTCGGAAAGTGTAACGTGGTTAGTATCTTTCTAGTAGTTATAAAGCCACAAAACTTAATAACTATATAATTTAAGATGATAAAAAAGATTAAAGTGGTTTCATAACTCAGAAATACCAATAGTGCTATTTATAGACCAGGGTACTTGTGCCCAGTCCACGGAACGCGTTAACATGGCAACTTTCATACAGTTTGCTAAATTCTCATCAAAACTTGGTAAACCTACACAGATTGATATGCTGAAAGAATTTAACATGATCCCAAAACCTAGAAATATCGTCGTTCCACCTAGCAGTTTTGGAATCTATCTACATAAGCACGAAAAAACCGCTACTGTGTAGACAAAAAGAGTTCGTTTTCACCTTAGGACTCCATTGGTAACATTCTCAATAGGCAAGCGGCACTGATTGGTCAACCTATACAGTCATGTGCTCGTGTTTCTGATTGGCCTATTTCGATTCACAACTGGGTATATATATTTCCTAGCGTAGAGTTTTCGGTCTATGTTCTGACGTTTTAAACTCTGAAGAGTGTCAGACGAAAAGCTTTAGTTTACTAAATGTTTGCTTTTTTCAAAGCCATTTACAAGTTTTGTACCACCAAAAAATTGTTTGCATATCAAATTGTATATTTTCGCCAAGTTTAATGCTTTTATCACAATTTGCACGATTGCAGCCTGTTCTAGGCCTTGTCAGCCCCACTATAATGCATTTATGCTAGTAAAGGTTAGAGCAACAAGTCACAGAACCGAGTCTATCAAAGGTAGAAAGTGCAAAATGAAGATTTCACCTCTTTTGACTTGAAGCTTGGAACAAAATATCTATAAAAGAAAAAGGGATCTCATCGCTTTTTCAGTTTAAACTAAAATAAAAATACATTTGAAGAGCTTAGCAAACCCGAAATGACACACGACTCCCAGGAAGATCATATGTCTGCTTTGATTCAATCATTGATATAACCTTGTTTGTTAATTTTTTATTTTAATTATTAGATTTTTATTCATTCCTAACTTGTGCGTTAATTTCCGGTGGGATATCGTGAATAAATGTGAATTTGATAAATAGAACAAAAAAAGATAGAGAGCAGCGCATTGTTTTTTTCTACCCAAGCACATGAAAAATTCTCAATCTATTAGTGTGTGTGTCAAGAAAGAAATTCGTTGCTGAAATGGCACTGACTGCACATGCAAACCATGTAGGACGTTCGTACCACAGTTTGGATTTTTGTATTACTATCGTGACATACATAGATGGACTTTGTTATAAATAGCTAAGATTTAAGACTTTATTGATTTTGTTTTAAAGTAAACTATATGCTTGAAATTCAATGCTCTTAACTGTTGAAAATATAAGAGGACCTTTCACCCGCGTTTTTTGTTCTGTTATTCAAACTTGTTATTTTGTCTATAGACCGTACCACAAGAATCTCATAATCAGGTGAAAGTCATATCGCATATCGTATTTCAGTCAAGTTGTTTGAATTCGCATGAAGGTCGCTTGATACTTTACCAAATTAGTTTTATATCTCGAAAGAACTCGCACGGTTGGGGAATTTCCAACATAACCTTGTACGTTCTTGTTAGATGTGTTAATTTAACTGCAGTAAATTTGTGTCCTACCATTCGAGAATATACATACTATGATGAAGCTGCTTGACTCATGTTTGCCCTTGAAAAATTATTCTTTTACCTTAGACGGTTGAACGATCTAACAAAATAGCTAAAGATATCCTTGTAGGGAATGATGCACTGCATGCTCTGTAAATACTTTCTTTTTTTGATACCCAAAGTTGACCGAGAAGCTCGTCCAAGTAGTTCGTCCAAGAAGTTCTTCCGAAGAATCAAAACAGTTGCAAAATCAAAGAGAAAAAAAGATGTTCTAGGAGCCAAAGTAGATACTTAGAGAAACAGTAAATTTACGACCCTATTGGAAAGAACCAATTAGAAACAATAACCACACACAGTATTCCCCATGATTCACAGGCACATGGGTAAATCAAAGTTAAAAACCAAAACTTAAATACCGCTTCAATCATATAAAATTTAGACCAAAATGTGCAGAACTATTTAATTTAGCTCCGTTTACAGTCGCACTTCTTTAGCAGTCACAAATTTTCAAGTAACAGTTGAAAACGGTAAAAGATTAAAAAAGAAACACTAAGGTTGAGTTGGAGAAAAGTCGCATTACGTGAAGGATAAAAGAAGTGGAGTCGGTAACAATTGCTAGTGGAATCTAGCAGAAAATTGGTTCACTTCTAAAACCTCTTTCGAATCAGTAGAGTGAACTCCACCTGGCTCAAAACGTCCCTCCAATATGCGAAACGCTGTAAATTACGTCCCAAAGAAAAATTGTTGCCAATCTCTGATTTATGGAAAGTGCATTTCAAATGCACCTTGGGCCTTGCAAAAGAATGGCAATCCTAAATGAAATCACCAGAATGTTGATCACTGGAAATGCATGGCAATAACGCTACCCCTGGTTAAGCTTTTGACCTTAGGAAAGTTATGCTACTCCTGTTTCGTGTTAAAAACAATGGTTCGCGTTCGAATTTCCGTGCCATATTTCATTTTTATAAGCAACAACACGAAGAATAAGTGGTGACTTCAGGAAAGGTTTCTAGGGGTGATCATGATCTAGCGCCTCGCCTATCTTAAATCGATGGAGCACTGTCCCTTCCAGCATCATAGTTCAAACATATTGGAGTCAAGGAATCCGACGAATCAACAGTTAAATTAAAGCAGTCAATTGCAAGTGTGGGCGAATGCTTAAATGACGTGCAGATTAGGATAAAAAACATAACAGAACATAAAACGAAACGTAAAGCGAGCATCTGAAGTGAATTAACTCTGAATTAAAAACAACTACCTAATTTTACCAACCTCACATCTGGACGTCTTCTCTCCAAGTAGATTCTTCGCCCCTGCTCGCCAGCTTTTATCATGTACAATAAAGTGCAAGCACTTGCAATCATTCAATTCCGGTCATCAATCAAAGGTGGCTCGTCCTCCCTGTCACGTCCATCATGCAGGCACCGCGGAGCGTTGAGAAAAGTGGGGGGACTAAAAAAGTGGGGGGGGGGGGGGGTAAACCATATAAAAAGAGGCTTTTCTGGTAGTTTGATACTTAGTATTTTACCTTTTTTGGAAAAAGTGGGGGGGGGGGGCTAGAGCCCTCCCCTGCTCCGTGGTGCCTGTCATGGATAGACCTACAACATGTAAAATTGTTGCGCGCATTGTCACATCCTTTTTCTTCAGATTTGCGCCGTTTGTCGTCAGAAAACGCTGATACAAAATTTGCAAATGGGATTTCTAGATTTTAACTAGACATGACTTATGCTTTCTTTTATTTTTCAAAATGCTTATAAAATGAAGGGCTCCGATGGTCTCCTTTACCTCTTGGCAAAGTAACGTAGAGAACTGGTCATGTGTGTAGTAAAAACCCGCGTGTAAGAACCTAGGAATTCCAGAATCTTCTGGCAGAAATTTGCCTTTTTAATACGCAGGAGCGGTAGCTCGAGTGTTTGATTTTCGGAATTCACATTTGAAAGCAGCGGTATAGGTTATCAAATGCGATTAACAAACATGCACTGCTGGCAATGTGTCATCACAATGTCTCTCCAGATAAGATATAAAACACTGAGCGCAGAATGGTCTAATATTAAAACTTAGACGAATCATAAGTTTCGTTCTTTGTTGACAGTAACCAACCAGAATTGAGCTACAGTGGATATTCCGAGCTAAAGTCGGTCTGGGGATTTGCTCTGGAAAAGGCATCGAAGACAATGAAACCCGTATTATAATTTTTGGCGCGAGCTATAGTCAAGCTATAGTCAGGTTTGAAAATGGCCTTTTAACCAATAGAATATCAGTATCCACGGTACTTCTCCGCTCTCTGTCCCCTGTAAAGCAACAGTAGACTATTGCTCATTTTCACATCCTGGGTCCCCTGTAATGTAGCTTCAAAGGAAAGGACCTACTAGGGAATAGACAGGGACGGCGGGGAGGGCGTGGTTCCGATCCCAAAAGATTTGAGCTATAGTCACCAAAAATCCTGGATCCGCCCCTGGTACACCAAAATATAAGAACCTGTTAAGCCAAACAATTTTCAACAGGTTCTTACATGTTGGGTTTAATAATTCAATTTATATAGCTTTTTAGAAAAAAACAAAAAGTGACAACAAATTGAATTGTTGAAATAAAGCTCAAAATACACAATGTGTGTTTAACTAAAAAGTATTGCTACTATTTTAAATACAGTACTGTATCATTGATACATTGTTGGAGGGCTTTTGGCAGCGTCAACGCATTTACTATACAAGAACCCTTTTGGCGAAACTCTGAAAAAAGTAGCTTCTTACACGCAGGTTATTACTGTATTTGATGTCCTGTTATAAGGGGCATTTGGGGCCTCAATTGAATATGCAAAAATGTTAAAATCCATTGGGTTATTGGCAAATTGACAGTTCTAATACCTTATTCAAAGAATTGCCAAACCCATTCTTCTGTGTCCTACCAATTGTGTCACTGCTTAGTATAGTCAGGGAAATAGCGGTAGCTATAGCTAACTAACCGCAGGTGTTGTCACCTTTGAACTTTTCGTACACTATAACTCTGGTCTGTACCATGTCTTCGTTGTCCTTTCCGGGGCATGCAACAGTCGGATGGAAGTCCCTAGCTCTTTTAAACCTAGCTCTTGTAAAAGATCTTCCTTCTTGGCCTTCAGTACTTTCTTGAAGGGATTTATCTTTCCAATACCAAAAGGCTAAGAGGTTGTGTGGCACCCCGGTAGGGAATGAAAGGCAGATAATATATCGCACACCTTGTCGCCATAATAAATTGAAGTCATGATTGAAATGGATCGTATGCATATATAACAATCTGTGCTGATTCGCATCCGATTGTTGATTTTACAATGGCAAATACAATAGTTACGGATATTTCCCTGTCTAAAGACTTTTAACCGACAATTTTCATATATTACATGTGTAGTTTAAGACCCAACAAATTAGACTAGCTCTAAATTTTTTTTCAAAATATTGATTACAAATGATGCTTGAATGTTCGAAAACATTTTTTGCTCTTAGGGAGCCATTCTTATAATGAAATTTTCTGATGAATTTACTTTCTGTTGTTTTTCTAAAATTGAAGCTAATCACTCTCTGTGGAAATGTCGGACATCCACTGGTAGTGACGGACAGGCAGATTAAACACAGTTTTGGTGATCTAGATAAGAATATGAAAAAAGGCCAGGGGTAATGCAAGAGTTTAATTCTAGTGTTGGAAATTTTTATTGTTTCCCGATCAATTTATCTATTAGTTGAAAGCAATTAAAGGACAAACAATAATGAGATCCAACAGAAAGACCACGATTCAATCCGAACTTATGTTATTCATAGTTAAATTGCAAAAAACAACATCAAACTGGAAACCTGGTTTTTCTTTAAGGAAATAGAACTAATTTATTCCATCGGTATGGGTTTTATCAAGTTTTTCTGGCCACGACATTTTCCAGGGAATCATCCCATTAGCTGTCCGGAATTGACCACGCTCATCTGCAATATACTTCGTCCAGAGATGTTTCGGAATCTCAGAATCGTGCCATCTGATGAGGATGCCTATGTTATCCAAGCAAAATCCAAGCATCTCTCTATCATTTAATCAACTATAGTATAAAGTCAAAACTTGAACATTGAGCTTTCCCCGATCACTGCAGAAAGCAACATCTCGATTTCGAAGATCAGAAAATCGAGGGAATTTAGGCCCACTCACTTCACCGACATGCGTTCAAAACACACAAAAAGGGCTCAAAAAGAGAAATATATAAACATGAATGGTACCAAATCATGCTTTCAACAATCTTTTCATATTTTTTCATGACAGATTAAAAAAAATATTCCCAAGTATATTTGTCTGTGATTGCCTAGCGTCCGGCATTACCCATGACTACCTTACTTTTCCTTTTGATGGAACCGGTAGAAACTTAAAGGGATTTGTTTTAAATCTCCTTCAAGATAGATAAGAGGAACTTCCTTTCCTTCTGAAAATTACTTGTAGAAATTTTCAATTTTCATATTATTTGAAACGCTTGCATTTTCTGCAGTGCAGTTGTCGAATTGTCCGGGTGTTCGAAATAGTACCATTGGTTTTCTAGTCTGTAAGAAGATAAATTATCTTCATCTGATGTAAATAGAGTTTGCAAATAATAAATTTTAACTATAGCGTTGAAATATCGTGTCCGTTTAACGTAAATACAATTTCTTCAAATAAATTGGCAGCTAAATTATTAACAAACAAATTTTTTGTGTGTTTGGTGATGTGATGACTGTGGAGGCATTATCGTAAAATAGCTGAGCTTTGAAAAAAGATTTCAATTGTTCTTTGACGAAAATAAGAAGAGAATTTTCTTGAGGGAACGAAATGTGTACCTCAATTGTATTATCGAGGTTTACACCATTTACATTTACTTTGTTGTACTTTGTTTTGACGATTGTATTTTTGCGACTGAACTGAAAGTTAAATATTCTGTCCCTGGTTCAGAAGACACACAACATCCAGGACCTTCTTTTTAATAGTTTTAGTGATGGTGTGCCCCCCCCCATGGTGCTGCTACTGATGGTGGGTAAAACAATTACACTTGAACTGTTTGATGAAGCTGTTGCTTTTGTTGATAAATCTATTGAAACGTATTGAGTAAGGGAAAGGTAATGAATAAGTATATAATATTCTTTTTTCACACTATTTTTGTTATTTGCTTTTTTATATCATCATTTAAGTTGATAAGTGGAATATAAATTTTCTGTGATATTTTTGCCTTATTTTTGATCTAGTTTATTGAACTGTTTTGGATTTTGAACTAATATCTTTAAAAACTGATGAAGCGATAGGAGACTCACATGTTATGTGAGCTACTTTTTGATTTACTTGTGAAACTGCAGCGGGGTTTTCTCACGTTATTTAATGTCTTCCTTACTTTTCTTATTGCTAATGCTTTCAATCTTTTTTAAACGTTTCTTTCTTTTGATTTAGCTTTTGGCTTGGCTTTTTCAAACAATCTTTTACCAGTTGTTGAAGCGACATGTTTAGCGGGCATACAGACTTCATGTTGGGCTCTTATTGGTCTGCAGTAGGAATTTTTTTATGGCTATGTAAGTCGTCGAACTTTTAAGATCACATGTGAAAATTGTTCATTTGATCAACTGGAGTGGGTAATAGACGAAACACAAAAACATGACTGGTTTGTTCAGTGAGATCACCGAGGGCTTTATTACAGGGGTCCAAAAACCGTCATTCGCAGGCGCATTAAGTCAAATTTCGTCGAAAGGCGAGAAATTCATCTTATGTGAAGCCAGGGAAACCATTGTAGAACACCTAGATACACGACGAAACCAAGATGTTTTTAAAAAGCTGAGTTTTTGAATCGTTCTTGAACAGCTGTTCACATGAAAAAACGAGCTGTCCAACTTATATGCTCGAACTGTATGTTTATACCACAATTGAATAGAGCTAATGTAGCGGCAAAAACACCTCACATCTATTGGTCACCTTGCGTTGTTTGACACATAAGAACAACAAAATAACGCAGTCATATGCAAGGTATCATGAACAATTTTTAGTTGCCTATTCTTAGCCTGCCCAGGCCATTTGCATTTTTATCCGTTGCGTGTCTTTAACTGATAATATAAAGGCAATTTCTTTCTTTGCCACTATCACAAAAACGGAGGCGGGACACAAAAAATTCCAGGTATTAACTACAATGATCGTAATCTTATCAGTTTTATGCAAATCATATCGATACAAGTTACACAAAAATTCATGTTGCTTACTAAAAGGTTATTGTTACAAAATAATAGCCAGTTATAACGAGGTAACAGGCGAATTTATCACTTACTAAATATGGCCTAAGATACGCGTGCTATTTGCGAGATATCAATAACTTTGAGGACAAGCAAATTTTTGACACCTTTCAGGATAAAAACAAGCATCATAAAAGAGAATGGAATTTTGCTTCTGTATAATTTTGCATTTGTAGGGGGCTTTAGGATAAAGGCACAGCGACATTTGCTTGAAATGAAAAAAGAAGCAGCACCTGCTGTTGCATGACATTTACCACGAAAAGGCAGTTCAAATACAAACTGGTTTAAAATCACTTTCACGTCATAGCACTTAAATCATCGTTCTTGGGTGCCACGCAGAGGCTGAGGTCTGACCAGGACCTTATGTTTCCTGCACTGCAAGAAAAAGTCTGCAAGACACCCGATTTGTTTTGTTGTCAAATTATGACTATAAGCAGATCTATAAGAATTATAAGCAAATCTTGGATTGCCTATTCACCCAGATTTGAGCTTTATCTGTTACCTTGAAATTAAAAGCCTTAAGCTACTACACAAAACATCTAATGATCAAATGTTACATATAACTTGTTTGGTATACATTAAACATCACGGTTTATAAAATAATATTAGAGAGTCTTGTATCTGTCATCTTCCTCGATGGTAGTATGCAGTGTTCCTTTATATTTTCTACAGAAGAAAAACAAAAAGACTAAAGGTTGTATTCTATATTTACATCCAACTAAATAATAATGGAACATTCTGGATCTTTCATAGTGTATTTTGATTATCATACCGGTGAAACCCTTCGTCAATATTATACCAGCGTAATTCTTCGTCAATATTATACCAGTGTAATCGTTCGTCAATATTATACCAGTGTAATTCTTCGTCAATATTACACCAGTGTAATCGTTCGTCAATATTATACCAGTGTAATTCTTCGTCAATATCCTACCAGTGTAATTCTTCGTCAATATTATACCAATGTAATTCTTCGTCAATATTATACCAGTGTAATCGTTCGTCAATATCCTACCAGTGTAATTCTTCGTCAATATTATACCAGTTTAATCGTTCGTCAATATTATACCACATAGTCTATAGAATTTGCTAAGGTAACTGCCTCGAATATTCTTAACATGTTGCTGGGCCAAAAAGAACACGATACATGGATATCCTCTTTTTGTATTTTACTCAATTCAGCAATGATATAATCGTAGTAAATACCTGCCAGTTCCAGTGCTTTGTAATGCATATGGATAAAATTCAAATAAAGAACATTCGCCGAAAATTGTAAACAATAGACAACGCATTTGTACAGGCAGAGTAGATTTTTCACGGTTTAAGGAAAAACGTCACGGAAAACACATCAGAGAAATTTTTTAGTGTAATTAAGAGTTCTTTCTCGGAGAATTCCCAACACACATAAATATGTCATGGTTCAACACGTTTGTTTAAAAAGAACACTTGTTAACGAAACAACCAAAAATGTCTTACTTTCGAATATCATACCCTCCGGTTGCAGTCGCTTTGCCATCACGAGACACTACCAGTTTCAATTGCTTGTCTTCGTCTGCGAAATAAAAAAAAACTGATTACCAAAAATGCATTTTGTCAATATTTGGCACATAATGTATTGTACACAAAGACAAGATATTCGACAGTATGATTATCGACAAAAAATTCAACACAATGAGGGGTACATGCCTGAAGCCTAGATGGACTCATTAATAATTAAAGCAAAGATAAAGATTGTCGAGTACTTCTTTGCGATGACAAACGTTGTTTATAACTACACAGGCATTTGCAATCCATCATTTTGGCATACATCATAACTTAATACCCTAATCCACAATGTCCATAAAGTCGGTTTTTACAGTAGCGTTAAATAAAATGAAAATAAATCTTGAATGTTGACCACCACGTTAAATTCGATGGTAAATAACAAATAATTTAAGCCGTAGTGCCACAAACTAGCTAATTATATCATTTAAGACGAGGCGAATGTCCTTTATCGTTCAAGTTTGCAATTACCTGCCTTTTGATATGTAGCAAACACAAAGAGTGTAGATTTAAGGCAAGATTGTTACTGACTGGAGATATTGTGACAAAAAGTATATATGGAACAAGTTTAGGGGTTGAATCGTACAAGACAAGTCTGGGATGGCGTGTTAATGATAACCATATAGTATTAATATCATTCAGCATTTAACATAAAAACTTCATACCATTAAAACTTGCATCTGCTGTGAAATCGTGCCTGAAATTACAATTTTAAGTCGTGAAAAGTTTGCCAAAAGCAAAATTTAGCAAGAAAGATCATACACCAGACAATGGAAGACCTCAGTTATTGATGATTAAACAAATAGATATCCACCGATTGGCAATCGATTGTGAAACGAATGTGAATTGAGATTACTATTAACTAGCATAATTCACCCCTTGACATTCTATGAAAACCGACTTTAAAATAACAAGTAACGAAAGCGTCAACTCCCAACCCTTCAAACAGCTGATTAATGACGTCATCAACATCAACCCGCGTGGTGTCCATTTTCCTTTGAAATTCTTCACTTGCCTATGAAAAATATGCGAGATCAACACTAAAGGAAGCGGCTATCAAAATTTATTTGCAGGCACTCGATCTAGCATAGAAAACAAGAGAGCCATACTACAAAACAAATGTGGATCAAGACCCATGCACTAACAGCAAAGTTCAAGAACTAATTTTAATTGTATTAACAGTATCAATAGTATCGATAGTATCAATAGTATCAATATTGTGTTGTATCAATATTGTATATTGTATCGGCCGTGAAAAATTGTATCAAAGACAGGTAAAGATATCGTAAGAAGCATAGCAAATACCCCCCAAGGTAGTGTACTTGGGAAATCTCAGGCCTTCTAAGATTACAAAATGGCCGCCTATTTTTTGGAATTAGCGACATTTGTTTAGCTGCCATTATCACTGCTGCATAAAGACTAGGCATGTCTACTCGATCATTTCTTCCGTATGAGATAAACGAGGAATTGCAAAAACAAGATACGTTGGAATACATACCGTGGCAAGGGCACTAGGCCCAACGTCCCCTTCTAAGTGTATATCACTTGTATCTGGCAAGTGGATTAAGGTCATGTGTTATATATTAAATATATTTCTATAATCAGAATATTCCAAGGAAGCCAAGAATATCTCCCATTTCTTCTTTAATTTGCAAAGCTTACATTTAAAGACTGCAACGACTAGAGGCACTTTGGAGAATAAATGGCACAAAAAAATGGAAATTGTATAAAGACAAAAAATCATCGTTGTTAAAAAAGTAAGCAAGAATTGGCTATAAATCAAGTTCACATTGCATATTATTGCATTTGATTCGCACAATGAAAGGATACTGCTTGACTGTCTCGAATGATCTGATGAGCCAAACCTTACAAAATATGAAAATACACTGTCAGTTGATGTCCAATTCTCCCATTATATCATAAAACAACTTATCCAATTATTTGGTGTTGCATAGCACTGTATTGAATCAAACTACATTGTACTACATTTTATCGAATCATTTAATCGTATCGCATCATATTATTGTACCGTAATTTTATTGCATCGTATCACTTTGTGTTCTCTCGCATTATAATGTAGTTAAAATTTTGTATGATATTTCGTATGATTACAATTGCATTCTATTGCATTCCAATTTATCCTGTATTGTATTGTATTGTATTGTATTGTATTGTATTGTATTGTATTGTATTGTATTGTATTGTATTGTATTGTATTGTATTGTATTGTATTGTATTGTATTGTATTGCATTGTATCCTAATTCGCATTATTTTGTTGCATTGCACTGTATTTAAAATGTACCGTACTTTATGGTATTGTAGCTGCTTGCAACTAGATAGTTGTTCAAACCAACAAATAATTCTTTAGATGCTCTTGAAATTTTTATTGTAAAAATAATTAATGCAAATGTTTTGAATTTAGCTTGCAATTATTGCAAAAATGTATGCACTCTACTTGTAAAAATCAAATACAAGATAATAGTCGATACACAAATTCTTATGAAGATGAAATTACGAAGTATAACAGATATGCTTTTAAATCGTAGCACAATCGTAGTAACGTGGTGAAAATTTGAAGAAACTGCAAAGTAAAATTAAGGTTACCCTGGGTACCAGACCCTCAGTGGGTTGGTAAAAGAATGGGTCGATAAGTGGAGGGCCGAAACCGTTAGACTATCTTTTTCACAGAGAATCAGGTAACATATTGACAAAAATCCTGCAAAAATGTTACCTAAAGATAAGATATCAGATATCAGATATCAGAAATTATTACCTTTTATCCATGCTTCCAGATCGTGTGTGAGTAGGCAACGATATTCTTCCCGGTTGGTTACCAACGCTTGCATGTCTTTTGTGCAGCGGGAAAGTGCTCATACCATCCATTGGAGGCAGAAGATGGTTCGGCTGTGACGAATCACTGAAAGACCTTGGTATGCTTTTAAACTGCTCGTCATCTTTTGGGATATCATCTTTGCTACTTGAAGGAGTTGGAACCTTTCCTGCCACATCACTAATAGCTGCTGAAGCAACTTGAGGCTTCGATACTTGACTGAAAGAAGAAAAGAAATAATAGGTTGGGTCGAAATGTACTATTTGGGTTGATTAAGACATTGCAGAATTCGAGGCCAACAAGGCACACGCCGTGAACAATCGAAATCTGTATACTTTTGGAGAGAAGCAAACACCACTATACATCTAGCATAATAAGGAAAATAAGATATCTGAATTTGGATTTTAATCCTAATAGGAAAAAGAAATACAAGAAGGTAAGATAGGTTAGGATAGGATAGGATAGGATAGGATAGGATAGGATAGGATAGGATAGGATAGGATAGGATAGGATAGGATAGGATAGGATAGGATAAGATAGCTAGTAAAAACAAATCTACAATCAGGAAATAAACTTTGAATGCATTTTTAATAATTATACTCAAGACTGTCCATAGAGATGCCGTCAGGTTTGGTTAAAAAGGAGCCAAATACTCACGGCTTGAACAGCGGATCTCCAGATATCAAAGTCATGTTGACATTCACCTGTAAATACGAAAAATTAGACAGCGATCAGAAGCCATCAGAGCCAATTCCATATTCTGCTGGTCTCATGTCTTGATCAAACATCCACTCTCAAATACACCCCTTTTCCTATTTAACGTAACATCATCTCAATCAACAATGACAATATTTTTCAACCAAATGCAACCCTCCAATGGGCATAACATAAATCAAGGTGCGAGCCTAGAATAGATATGACAGGCAAGATTGTACCAAATGAAAGATTTTATCGAGACGAGTTAAAAAGTGGCATTGGTTTTGGGGTAATACCCAGTGAAGACGTCACTATGATGTGTTGAAATCTTAGCACATTTCAGTACAGTACACCTACAAACTATAAATTATACTCCTAGCATTCAACAGCAGATAAAATCCTTCAACTTCTTTTGATATGCAATGTTAATTATAACATGTTACTTTGGCTTCCAAATTATCAGTTTTGCTGACAATCTCTATCATTTTTCTTAAGTGTAACTAGCAGATCTGCAATCATTGCCAAAAGTACTTGGAACAACAAGCAATTTACGTTGTGTTTTTATATGTTTCAAATCTTTTCCCGGATACTCCTATTTCTGCACCCCCCCCCCCGAAATAATGATGATAATTTATAAAAATATCATAGAAGTCGCAGAAAAATGCGTTCTTCCTAATCCCCTACACCGTTCTTTAGTAAACCAAAATTGTTCAAAGAGGGAAGGGGAATGGCTAAATTTGCCCTTGAAAACTGACGTTAGTGTACCAAAACTTTTGGCAAGCGTCAGATGCATGTGGGAATACAGTACAAAAGTGGCTCAAAAAGAGGGGTCTGGGGCTAGCTTATGCGTTCAAGTTACATCTTAAGGCAGGAATGAAAAAAGAACTAAACACAATATCGAGCCCAAACTCCCCTACCATCACAATAAGCCGTACCTCCACAAACGAAAGGAGAAAAGGACGCGCCAACTTTAAAGGTGAACTGACACGCAAAAATATTTTTTGATATAATGCAGAAAACGATGCATGGGATCTTAATTTAAAGTTTTCGGCAAATTAATTCCATCGCGGGGGCCCCTTAGTTATGATAAACAACACCCTAATCTCAGGAAAAACATTTTGGGCTTTCGGTGCATCAGCCCTTGTCTTGCCTGAGCAATGATGCAATTTTATGGTCGGTGTTTGATTCCAGGGTAAAAACTGCCTCAGTTTTTTACCCCGATAATCAGACTGATACACCTGTCACACAATCGAATGACTGTGTGAGAAGAAGTGAGACAGGAGAAGGCAGAAGGGAGCATATAACGGGATATAAGCAGGAGGAGAAGTGAGTACAAGGGGACAGGGATGGGAGGGGAAAACGCGTACAAACAACGCGTGAGTCTTGCTGCAAAATATGACATGACCCTAGCTGCATCACTGTACGTAAACAAATATGCCAGGAAAAGACCACCTAGATAATACCACAAGGTGATTAGCAAATAGCTAAGGTAGCATGATATCCACAGCCTACTAAGGATATACGTGTGGGACCACCCGATTCTAGAAAAGGGGAATCTGCGCACTTTCCCCGCGGGTATTAACTCGAATTAAACGATTAATTCCCATTTATTATTGTCCGTTTTGACGCAATTCCGCTCTAAATTTCATGAAATTATCGTCGAGTGTTTGACCATTGTCGGCATTTAATGCGACCCAGTGCGTGTGATGTCATAAACACCATGTTTTTATTCTTGAATGGAAATCAGGCACGGACTGGACAGTTCAGTTCATCTTGTTCAGTTACTATTCAAGGAGATCTACGTAGTCTTTGATCAAAGATGCATGAAAATTCGAGGCTAATGAAATGTACGAAGGGTATGTGGTGGCTGGTACTGCGTTATGTTAGGAGGGGATTTGAGTTTGGAAGGAATAGGCACTTTTAGCTGCTCGAAGAAATTCTCAATTCTGAAGTCAATCGTGCGGACGAATGTAAGAATCTTTTCATTTTATCATGAATCTAGCTTCTTTTTCCAATAAATTCAAAATATTATTACTTCGATAGATTATTTCTACATCCATATAAATCATGAACGTTATTCTATTTTGGGTTTGCAAACTCATCGGTTCACCCGAATTACAGGAGTGCAGCGGCCTGGGAATTGACAATCTTATTAAGTTGTTTTCCTGCAAATAGCGATTCGATCGTACCAGGTTCTTAACCCCTGAAAATCTTTCATGTGATTGAATAAAAAATATGCCGAAAATGAGTGACTTAAATTCGAAATCTTTACTGCGTATATTGAAGTTAACCAGGATCAAAAACCGAGATTAACTTTTTTTGGGGAAGGGGGGGCCTGATAAATTAGTCTAGCAGCAGCCATATTTAACAAAATAAAAGTATTTTACTTAGGTTTCCGGAAAATAAAAACCCTGCCAAATATTTATCGCTACCATTATATGATATGTTGGCCCGCCACACACTGGGTCCTGCAAGACGGGGGAAGGGCCTCAAACACGTTGAATAATACGATATTCTTGCAAATCTTATTATGAAAGGTTTGTAAAGGAGTCATAATCTGTTTCCAATCAGGTTGTCGAAATGGAGCCAAAACCTTCTCAATTAATGTATCGATGCTCATCCGCAAAGTCATAAAAGTACGGCCTTCCAGACTGTCGTGTTGCTCAAGTGATGTGAACATGGTGTTTGTGACGTCATGATTATGCGGAAGGCTCGGACAAACTTGTCTGTGCTCGGAAAATGTTCAGTGACTTACATTGACGCTCAATAACTCAAAAACTGTGTTGAGTATTAAAATAATAATAAAGTATCAGGTATTTATGCTCGATATGCTTTCATTTGAGGTCAAGTTAATTTTGCGTGTCAGTTCACCTTTAAAAAACCGCGTTCACTCGCCCTCGCCCAGTAAACTCATCATTTAAACCACCGCAACAAATTACTCTTTTCAACTACCCAAATAAATGTTTAGACGAGTCCTTAATTACACTTTCCAGGTTCCTAAACTCCATTATTAAAGAATTTAGATAAGCAGGCGTGTTAAGGCCACATCAATCTAGACAATTTCGTTCTTGGTCATTTCCGTTATTTGCTTTTTCAAACCAAATTATTAGTATCTGTATTACGTTGCTTAGCCGCTTCACAACAACATCCGCTCTTTAATTCAGCGTTGCATTAAGGAAATGTAATGATACCCAATAAATAAAGCTTGATGAGCCACTGCTAAAATTTCTGTAAAACCTCCAATAGCATGAAAATTATACCTAAAATTTGACCATACGATATCGTTGTGAGCATTTTCAACGATTTTAAAAAAATTATACCTAACACTGTGAACAAAATTTCAACGAGTTCATTTATGTTTTAGCAATATCTCTTCTTCTCAATCTAGGCCCTTTTGAAGTATTTGGGTGACATTTCAGACCAGTAAACTAACCTTCAGGATAGAATTGTCTTGTCTTTGATCTTTGTTATCACTGTAACCTTCTAAAATATATCGCCTGGATGATGACCCACAGCCCGCAAATTCAGCAAAATTCATATCAACATAGCCAAGCTGAAAAGAAAAATCAAACCATCAAAATCAGATCGACATATAACAACATTGCACAAAACCCTTTGGGAGGAAAAGGGTAAGCAGAAAGCACAACTGGGAAAATGTTGATAAAAATTAACTTTTGCTGGTGTGATATACTGTAATTACAAATTATGACTTTCCACTTGCTTGCAAGAAGTAAGCTCGTTTAAAAGAAGTGACCTTGCCAAAGGGGAGGAAAACTTTTTAATTGTTCTTAGAATCCAACAATGGCTAAAGAGAAAACAATCATAGAAGGATTGGCAATAACAGGTTTATGCATTTAAAAGCATCACAGGCCAATTGGCAGAAAGCTGTGGTTGATATCTCCTGATATTAATGTAAATCTTTCTCTTCTCATGTGCCAGCTTTATTTTTATAACTGTTTTTTATCTATTACAAAATTTAGAAAGCTATGGTAATGCAGAACGAAAACTGCTTTGTGGAGGCAATGTACCGCTGTACAAAAATCATCAGCATTGCAAACCTTTTCATATGATTTTCCACCTTTTAGTTCCTGGAAGGAAATGAGGCAATTAATTGCATTTCATTGTTTAAGAACATGTAACGCTATATTCCTAGGAATCCATTGCTTGCTACATCATAATTTGAAACAGAACCAGGAATAAAATTTAGAATATGCAAACATATAAATTGAATATGCATACATATGAATTCAATATGGATTAAATATAAATTTTAAACATAGAAAAGGAACAGATGACAAACAGGAATCTAAAAGCAGGAGACAAGGAACTTGTAGGAGGAACAGGAATAAAACAATCAATTTTTAAGAAAGATGTATAAATATTATTAGATTGAGTCTTTCATCTTTTATGTTACAGTCTTCTAGTAGCAGTTTAATATTATCAATCATAATTAATATTAACAACTTACAACTATTTCTTGGCATCTTTTCCTGCAGTTTATAACCAAGGTTGGTTTAAAAAAGGGCAGCTTACATTGTTCTATCTAGATCTTATCAAGATTTTCTGCTACCTTGAAGCAGAGGGTGATATCACACAAGATAAATCAGAATAACTCTTGGAGGATGCTTATGATCCCGTGCTAGACGTGGGTGTAAGTTCTAATGTCTGTTTTTACAGTTAAGAAGTTTTAAAATGGTAATAATTTTTGTGCTTTTGGATCTGGCTTTTAATCAAGGATGGCTTACATTATTTGATGAACCCTACCAAGGTCACTTGAATACCAAGGTCAAATGGAACAGTTGAAATAAGAACGTCCTCTAATAAGCTTCTATTAAAAATGTATTTAAGAAATAAACATCTAGAAACAATTTAGAAGTTACTGAACTTTGCAAAATTTGTAATTGGGATTGTCATGTAATTCAAATCAACGATACACTTGTATATAAATGTTTAGATCACTGAAACAAAAGGGTACTTTAAACATTTCTCCTAAAGGAATATCCTTGGATTTCTGATCTTGCTTCTATCTTATTGTGTTTTTGCAATGAGAAATTTTTAAAGTGTGTTTTTGCAATGAGCTGTTTATTCTTCTATTGTACTATCACTTGACTCCAATTCAATAATGCTTTGTCGTGACTGTGTTTTAGACAATAAATTCCAGAATAAGTATAGGACTAATCTATTTCCAACTTTGCCAAACCATTTCACAAAATATCAGAAACAAATTGTAAGCCATCAATACAAAGGTGCAGCTCCAGTTGCAGCAAAATCATTTGCCAGTGGCACCAAAAGTTTTGCCAAGTTCCAGATATGTAAATCTGTTTACATCTGGTTTTGCTTCAAAATTAAATCCTCTCAAATATGTCTACTGCTCAATGTAAAAGTTTTTTCCCGAGAAAAACAGCCACATGCAAAATCCTACAAAAATGTATACCTGTGGCCAAAATTAGAACCCAAGTACCAGTCTTGTTCTTCTAGACTTCACTATTTTCTAAATCAAGATCTTTGCAATATTTGATTAAATGAAAAATCACCAATTATTATTTCTATGTATTTCACTTTTTTGACTCAAATTTTATTGGTTGTGTAATTTTTTTTAAGGTTGATCAACAACATAAACTGACCAGTTAACCACATAAAATAGCGTCAGGCTTGACAAAAGAGACAGCGGGTGAATGGATTTAGATGCAAAAACAGCCATTACAACCAGATAAACACCAAGGACTCAATGACTTGATTCATTCTTGAAGCTGACAAAAACTGCTTATGACATGGCAAACAATAAAATTGTACTTGCAAAGTGCCGTTTTTTGTCTATATGTTAGATAAGGGCAGTTTATAATTGTGTGAAAACTTGCTCAAGTCATAAGAAAGAATTTATCATTCCTTTATGAGATAGACTTGCTCTATTGGAGCAATAAATTTGAAAAAATTTGCCTGATTAGAGGGGCTGCAGCACCCCTAGCCTATATTTCTCCTTTGCCTGCACCCATACAGATCACAATACTATCAACCTTTTTTGGGTGATTTCTTGGGTACATCATATCCCTATGCCAAGACCCCTTGTGCTCCATTAAAAAATAGAATAACAACTGAAACATAAAGCCAAACAAAAAACAAAATAACCATAACAACAAGAAAAGTAGATGGCTACTCAATGTCCCAGGGGTAGGGACACTGAATGAAATTTGGGATTTTTGAATAAGGGTTGCATTCCACAACTTTGGTACAACCGTGTGCCTTATTCTAAATTATGATTCAGAATGAGCTTTGGTTTGGGCATCCTTATCGACAATTAACTTGAATAGCGGTGTCTGGCCTTATGTTGATTGACGTATCATGCATCACAGAAAAAAACCAATATGAACCAACCTTTCTAACTGAAACTCGACAAAGACATGTTTCTAAGATTCCTGTAGCCTGACTTGCTATCAATTTGCATGAAAGGTTGAACTTTGAATCCCATCTTGCCGAGTGATCTGCGACTCTTTTTCTGAAATTCGACAAAATTTCACTGTTATGCCGAACGGCTTATACTTTTGATCTAGCCTTTTAAATGAAATGCAGCTGGTCATTGACTTTTCCATGACTTCATTAAGCGAGGAGAATTAATCTCAAAGGAGAAAAGATTGTTGTTTTACAAAAGGTTTAAAAATTACCTTGTTGTGAAAGCAGCAAAATGTCCGCCATTCAATTGGCGAACTTTGCAGAAAACTACACCAGTTAGAAAGGGTATGCTTGATAGCTCTTGGATCTCAAGGCGTACATCAAACACGAACTTTTTCTTCTTCATTGGAAAGGCGACTGTTCCTTTTGAATCATTTCGCTTCGTTTTGATTGGAAGTAGTTACTTTATCGGCCATTCCCAAACACAAGAACATTCGCTGATATAGCCTCGATACCATTAAGAGGCTACAGTAAAAAGAATTTTGAAATTATATTTAGAGGTGACAATGAAATTACGGAAATGTTGACTGTGCACTTCAAACGAAATAGATGATGAAATTAATACCTTCAGTATAGTTCCAAGCCACTACCGTACTTACCTAGTTATTTCTATCGCTACCCATCTGTTTTTGAAAGCCTCACACACGGTAGCGAAATTTATGAAATAAAATTCATCTATAGAAGAAAAACGAAAACAATCTGTAAATTAAACTACCATATTAAACTGCTGATTATATTTCTTAAAAGTTGTGTTGCAGTGTTTAGCTTTGTTTTGCTTTACGCTGCAATGACATTAAAACTCTAAATCGACGCTTGGTAATTTAAAAGAGTTTTTACAAAAAATCTTGTCAGATAAATTTTCGACGGATAAACTTCGTCGAAAAAAATTGTGGACAATTTTTCAGAATTTTTCATGATTTCATACCGAGTACCTTAAATTACAGTTTTGCATAGACAATTGGTTTTGTTGCATTTAAAAATGACCGAATCAACAACCTAGGGTAAACAACCGGTTGCTGTTGTGTAAGTTTGCTGTTACTGCGTATGTTTATGTAACTGCGCATATCTGTTTTATAACTAACTAGAGGATAATTTACCATAATGCGTTCACAGTTCTTTTATATTATGCCGTGGGAAATTTAGCGTGTAATATATTTACTTAAATTATTTCTTTTTGGTTGTATTCCCAATACTAACTACAGTTTGTTTGTTTGTTTTGATAACCATAGATACGTTCACTAATTTTTTTATTCAGATTGGTTGTGAGTTGTTGAAGTGTAATAGTGATTTTGATTGATGAAATGTTATGTTATTTGAAATGAAGTTATCTCCTTGAAAGTTGGAATCTGTTTCGCGGAACCAGTATGTTGTACAGTTGCTATCATTTGACTTTGTCTTGTCCTGTTTTAATGTTTCATGCATTACACTTTTTATAAGAATAATACAATTTTTCAACACTGGGTGCTCTATTTTAGTAATAATTTTAAGCCCTGGTGTTCTGAAAATAGTATTTATTTCAAAATTAATTTTTTTATATCTGTAATTTAATGGATACTTTCCGAGGCCCCTGAATAACAGTTATGCATGACATTTTTAGTGGCACTGTTCAATAGCTGATAAAATCGCCTTTGTTTTGTTACTACGAGAGAAATTGTTTCAATTCAAAATCCAACCAATGGGTCATTATCAAAGAAAGTCGCAACTCCTACAGCCCCTACCAAGTCCGTCCCTGGTTTTTCTATGCGAATTCTCAAAAATGTTAAACTGTTTAGATTTGCCCTCGCAATAGTACGAAGGCTTTACGGGTCAAACAAAAAATAGACTTTTTACAAAAATGTTAAATGCAAAAAATTTCTTCGTGACAAAATTTCTTCCTTTTGAATTTAGTGGACGAAAATTTCGTCAAAATACTGTTGTCAGTGCGGAAATCAAAACCGATCTAATCAGCCCCCCACAAAAATTTTCGAGAAATTAGAAAAGCAACATGTCCACCACAGTCCACCCCATGGCGGTCCCACTGCAGTAGCTTTAGTTGATTTTTGCACTTTCTTATTCAGTGTTCTCACTTTTAAGGAAATTCCCTTAAACTAAGGAATTTGTTGACATTTTGAGGTAATTCAGTTATTAAGGAAATTTCAAGGAATTTCCAAAATTTTGAGAAATTTGTTTTAATACTTTTCTACGATCAAGGAAAATTACACATTTCGAACCAAGCACAAAATTGAATAAAAAGTTAAAAATAGATATGAGTCATCAAATAGGTCTTTAAAAAACTTTTTTGATAAATGCGGACAAAACATTTCCAGACAAACACTTATTAAATGATGTGCCAAAATCAACTGTAATTTAACGTCAATATAGGTGTAATAGAAAATTCAACCTTGAAATGTTTTCTACTTTCAAAACAAGACTGTTTTTCGATGCAATTATTTGTGTTTTCTTGATTTCTAAAAATTCCAAACTTTTGGACAAACAAATTTAAGAGAAATAAAGTTACAGAATTTTTGTCCGACAATTTGATCGTCTGAATTTTTGTTCATCCGAAAGTATTCAGATTAAATGTAGATGGATGACTTGATTTGACACTTAAATTTATGGCAACGATTGTTTTAAACTCGGTTTTAACGATATATTTTGCAAAAGGTAGGTTTTCGTAAATCTAAGGAATTTTTCTGACATCTGGGGGAATTTTCGTGCGAGTTTAAGGAAATTTACATGAAGCAAACTGAGAACACTGTTGTTATTATTATGATTTTGTTTTGCGTCGAAAGCAACTCACATTTTTTGAAAGTGCAAACTCTGATCATATCATATAACCTAGAATTTTTATTTAATAATTTACCTAGAAAAATTTAGTCAAAAGTTATTAAAGGAAAACTTGAGGGTAGTTTGCGTGCGAATCGTCAGAGCGAATCGTCTGGGTCGTCAAGCCTAATCAGATTCGAAATGACGGAAGGACGAGCCACCTTTGATTGATGACCCGAATTTGAATGATTGCAAATGCTAGCACCTTATTGTGCACGATTAACACTGGAAAGAAAGAAACGAAGAAGCCACGCGGAAAAAGACGTCCTGTCACACAAGTGCGGTTAGTGAAATTTTCGTAGTTATCTTTCTTTTACTGTAGATCTTGCTCGCTTTAATGTTTGAATACACTAGCCGTTTAATTGCCGCATTTAGTTGACTCACAATAAAGTGCCTAGTGTATCGCAGAGGTTCCAGTGTGGAATCCATGAGCTTTTGTCGGAGACTAACGATTTCCCATTGTATTTCTATTGTTTATTGGCGTATGTCTGGCATGAGATTTACATGGATGTCCACCCTGGCATACATTTTCAAATTCATTAACATCGCGAAGTTCCGTTTTAAAATTTGAACTTGCTCAACGTTTGGACAATAAAATGCCCAGGGTTCCTTTTGTATTTCCTAATCCTTGTTGACTGCTTTTGTTCAGTGAGTCGCCAAGATCATTTCAAGGACAGTTTAAAATAGTTTCTCGTCGATTTCTGAACGGGGCAAAAACATGGCATGCAAATCGCTGTGACTCATAGGCTATTGCAGTTTCGCACCTCTCGGTAACCATACATCATATACATTAATACTATATACCAATCGATAGCTCTTGATAAGACCATTAATATGGAATATAGTTTATTATAATTTACCTTCACGGGGGCTATATTCAATTAATAATCTTCTTATGTTTCTCAGTTCAGCGGTTCCCCGTCACCGAAACAACAACATCAATGAGTGGTGTCGTCGACCTTTCTTCCGAACGCGGAATTCCAGGGGGTAACTTTCTCGACGTTGCATCGAAAATTTGATCGGGCCAGAGGCGGAGGGGGTGGGGGCGCTGTAGGTGTTTTTTTATTCATAAAAATAAGAAGATTTCCTGTTGTTTATGTTGTTCTTATATTTTTTGGGCAAATCTCAGCCTGATTGGTATTTTTCTGAGGCCTTGCACCCCTTCTTTACTATCACCTTTACTCATAACAACTGACAGCATTCTTGAAAAGAATTCGTATCGCTAAATATTAGGTGTATAAGCATATTAGGTGTTTCTACGAGGGGGAGGGGGACATGGCCCCCCAGTTTTTTTCAAAAGTTTCTCATAAAATTTCAAGAATTATTCCATATAGGCAGGGAATTCCATGTAAGTGACTGGATTTTTGCCTAACCTCAAATGTTATTACTGATTTCTACTAAATCGACCCTGTAGATTACAAATCCAAGATGAGTCACTTTAGATTTTGACCGGAAGTGCCTTAATTTGATGACGTCAGAAAACAAGAAATTTATCCATTCTACCTGCAATTTCTCGGTACCCTTACACCAATTTTCAAGAATATTTTGCATATTTTGATTCAGCACCGCAAGGCATATCGATTGATATAAATTTTATTAATTGTTACTAGCAAAGTTATTTTTAGAAATGACGTCATCATGACATAAAACGATGTTTTGCTAGGACTCCACTTATTTTTTGTTACCAACATGTGTTGTATGATACAGAAATGCATGTATACTGGGCGGGTACGTGGCCACCTTGCCACCTTATGAGAGAGCAGTGGATACTGGGCGGGTACGAGGCAGAGACAAGGAAAGGGTTCCTGGTACCGGTCCCTGCAAGGGACCAAGCTACATTACTGCCGATCATCAAGCAATGGGTTTGTACCCAACATAACGATATGGACGGATATAAGGGCAGCATATCGGAACCTGCCACAGCTTGGGTTTGCCCTCGGCACGGTTAACCACACCTTGAATTTCGTTGTCCCCTTAACAGGGGTAACAACGAACAGAGTTAAGGCAATGTGGCAGAGGGCCAAAGCGAAGTTCAAGGCAATGTACGGTCCAACAAACTGAGAAATGGTGGAAGATTACCTTTGTGAATTCATGTGGAGCCAGCAATTTAGCGACAATCCATTTTTAAATTTTTGGTACCAAGTAGCCACAGATCTATATCCTTTACAATAATAGAACATTTTCAAAATCCCAAAATGCACCATCTTTGTTTACTTAAAACTATATAAAACATAATTTACTTCCGAAACAATTAATAAAATATTCCTTACCATACCTTGGTAAAAAACATTCTGTTTATGCGTAAATTATTGCGTGGTCTCTTGCAGGCCGCATTTCTTCCATTGTAAAATATTTTTAAATATGAAAACCCATGCCCCCACCTTTGAATTAGAAAGTACCGACAGTAATTATCTGAATTCCGCCGTATGAATTCCGCCCTTAATATGCTATGAATATAGGCACTCAGTATATATGTATACACTCATTTTTTTTTTAAAGAAACAAAGGTCGATGTTGAGAACTCCAGTATCTTAATGTTCTGGAAATTTCAATACTCGTTGTTTCTGAAGAGTGTCTTAATTATGATGTCATAAATTTTATATTTGGGTGCCTTATATTTAATTTTTAAGTTTTTTAAGGAAGAAATTTAATTGAATGTTTGGAACTATTACAGAAGATGGAGGGGTTTTCACAAGAAATTAGACTTGTCGATGCTTCTACTGTTATGCCAGGGTGCATTACATGTACTTAGGCCCGAAGATCTTCGACGTACACCCAGGTTTTTTTCGGCGTTCGGCGTGCAAACAATTAAAAATTTTTTATGCGTGCCTAAAATTTTCGTTAGTTGGCATGCTAAATATGAAGTCATCATTGGCGTACCCAGGGCTGTAGTAGTGGGGGGGGGGTTTGGGGTGCAGCCCCAAGAAATTTTTTTGGACCACGTCCTTCAAACACTCGCAAATGCGGGGAAACGCCCTTTTTGCAAAATTTCCCCCCATTATTCGATTCATGTTAGCTACGGTAAATAGCAAAGTATTTTGCAATTGTTATTGACACAAGCATACAGTATACTACACCCCCCCTAATGAGTTTTACATCGTTTTTGGACAAATCTTGAGGATCATATTTTAGAAAAGTGGGAGGGGGGACTCGGACCCCCCTATTCCCCCCCCCCCCCCCTTGGGTACGCCACTGGAAGCCATGTACATAGTTAAATTGCACATAAATATTTACAATAGGTTATTGCGGGTTATTATAGAAAACTTCTCTTTGCACACCCTTAATTTGCCAATAATGCCATACTTTCCAGACTACGGAAGGCAGCATAAAAAACATGCAAAAGCAACAAACAGCAGCTGAAGAAATTGCCTTGCGCATGTCCTAAACTTCCTTGTCGCTGTCTGGCTCCATTGTTACAGACTCATTTGAAGACAGCATACAGTGAAACCCCGTTAAAACGGCCACCAACGGGCTACCAAAAATTGGCCGTATTAACAGAGTGGCCGTATTAACGAGGAAGGGTCAAATTTTGGAGTTTAAGAGGTAGAAATTAATGATAACACGTTAAGGAACTCTTCGGCGCTATTGCAGTTTCGCACCTCTCAGTAACCATACATCATATATATTAATACTATATACCAAACGATAGCTCTTGATAAGACCATTAATATGGTATATTGTTATAATTTACCTTCACGGGGGGCTATATTCAATTAAAAATCTTCTTATGTTTCTCAGTGTAGGGGTTCCCCGTCACCGAAACAACAACAGCACCATCTTCAGCAATATGACAAATCAATGAGTGGTGTCGTCGACCTTTCTTCCGAACGCGGCATTCCAGGGGATAACTTCCACGTCGTTGCATCGAAAATATGGTTGGGCCAGAGGCGGAAGGGGGCGGGGGGCCAAATTATTACAATCTTTCTTAATTTTGGTACACAGGCAGAGCTTTTAGCTTTGAATTAATTTTTCAATGACTCATGAAATTTATTCTATCTTGGCTTCTACAAATATATTGTTCGGGCTTTTACATTTTTGATAGAGAGGGCCTCACTATGCTTGGGTCCAGGGGCCCTAATAATGTTAGTGCGGTTCTTTTTTAGAAAGGTAGAAAGATAAACTTTTCTAATTTTTCTAAAATGAGATGAGATGCTGATATATAATCTGCAATGTGAATTTTTTGGAAAAACGTTTATTGGTGAAGAACGCAGAAGAAACGTTTTCGGTTTACTGTCTAACAGCAACAAAGATTCGGGACATGCCAATACAAACGAAGGCCAATAAAATTACTGAGACAATAATTCATACACACAATGCTCAATATTTCAAAATTGCGAGATTATTGCAAAATTCAGGGCAGTATGTATACACTCATTTTTTATAAGAAACTGGCTATAAGAAACGAGTACTGGAGAGTCAGAAAAAATAAAGAAACTTCTGTACTCGAAGCAGAAGAAACAAGAAAATATTAAATCGTGATAAAACTGAGAACAAGAAAAAAATTTGTAAAATCCAAGAACATTATTGCCCTGTTGGCCAAGAACGTAAGACACAATGGATAAAGATATACTTCCCGCATCTAAATACAGTATCAGAACGGAAGCGAATCTCTTGACGTACTTATAAAGGTCACGAACATTTCATAACATAGCATAATTTCATAACAGCCAGGGTGCATTCCATGTCAACTGTACGCTGAAGGTCCACCGGGACATTTGTTTATGTAGGTCGAAAATATAAAAGCAGTTAGTAAAACTGTAAGCATTATTGCGCCAGACAAAGGAAACTGATTATTAGAGAAAACTGTGGTGTGTGAGTCTTTATTTTACGTTAAACTTTTGGCATATCAATGAAAATACTGATGTACCCGCATGTAAGAAACTTGAAGTTTTTTAATAAGACAATTTGGTTTCCTATACACGTAAGTATTTTTAATAGACTAATGTAAAAGTGCTGCCTTTCATGTTTTGTTTTTGTCTGAACTTCCAGGAAATCAGTTATGAATTATAAGCTAGATGCCATCGAAAATACACTCAATTTTAATTTTAGAGGAAATAGACGAAATGATTTACCGCATAGAAATAAATTCAAAAAAATTATTTGATAATTATTTTTTATAATACAATAAAAGGGGTTCTCAGGACAATTTTTTTGCATAAACATGTGCAAAATTGGCAGGAAAATTTCAACAACCGTTCTATGACAACTATTCGAAAAGGGAACAAGGAGAGATAACTAGAAGAAGCCAAAAAGATGTCTCTAAACGAGTCTGTCCATTGCAGATTCATTTGAAGACAACATATGATGTGAATAAAATGCGGAAGAACGCCGTAGTGGGCTCAAAAGCGCATTTTACAGTTGGGCCCTGTTCACACGATACAGTGGCGGATCTAGACAAAAATTTGAGTGGGTTCCAATATGGGCGTGGTCCCATATTTTGTGGCAACGCCCTTGACTTTTTTCCAAAATTGGGCGTCGCCCATTTTCACTTTTTGATAAGATTCACAATTGCAAGATTTGATTTTAACAAGATATTATTTCATCGTGATTCCAAGGCAAGTAATAAAATAAATTGACTGGCAGTTAAATGCCTAGTGTATTCCCGCCTTGACCAAACTAGGTTAGAAAACACGGACTTCTCCGGTGAAACGGTCCGAGTTTTCCAAGACCGCGTTTTCGAATAAGCCCCAGGCTCTAGAGGCAGGCTCGGACATGTAGAAACTTGAAAGCATGGACTTATCGAAAGCAAAGGGTTGCCAAATTGGCCTTCTTCAAGCCGATTTTCAAATTTGACCTTTTAAATTTCCAGGAAAAATTGTTTTTGGCCTGCGACTCAAATTTGGCCTTTTTTGCTTTTCGTCAGAAAGTTATATAACTCTTTACTCCAGAAAGTTATATATAACTCTTTAATGCAAAATGGTTTGTAATGGGCATAGTCAGCAACGCCTTTTTTGCCTCGTTTTTGCCTCGTCAAAATGAAAAACTCACTTGCGAGCGACTGCAAAATTTGAAATGTAATGCAAAAATATTAGCTCCATTTTCAAAATTAATTTGGTCCTTAACCAGTCCACAAAGTGAATAAATTGCTTTCGAGAAAAACCTTTTTGTTTTTAAGTAATTTAGTTTAAATTAAATTATTTTATTTGAATAACGTTGTTTTAGAAACCAAGAAACTTTTTCAAAACTTTTCCATTTGATATTGACTTATCGTTGAAACAGAAACTTCATTGGGTAGAAATAGACATTTAAAAGTCGGCTGGGGTTTGTTAAGGATACCCTCAAACCCAGTTAGGTTGAATGAACCCTTGATGTATGGCTGCTCGAAGTCATGTTCATAAGTATTTATTATATAATGTTTATCTTATCATTTATTAATGTAAAGGTATTGGAACCCTTTCAATGGTGTTGTGATTTGAGAAGTTAGCAACTTGTTAACTGCGAAACAGATAACTAAGAACTCTACGTGACGCGTAGTACGCAGTTCTATTTCAGCGATCGTTAGAACTTTCTACAAGCTTCTACACGATCCTTAATTAGCTAACAATAAAGCATCGAGCAATCAAGCCTAATTATGCGTCCTAAACTGGCTACTAATTACGAAAGTCATAGGCTTACCTACATAATCAGCAATTACGAAACTGTTGACTGCACGTTCTCAGCAAATGGTTCTGTATATTTTACATTACAGAACTGATATTCTGCGATATTTTTACATGAAAAGAGTGTTTGAGCCTTGTGTTTATCCGGTAAGTTTATTTTTTGGCGAAACCTGTTTTATTGCTTCCGAAAAAAACCTTTTCGTTTTCAAGTAATTTACGTTAACGTACGCTATTTTCTTTGAATAACGTTTTTTAAAAAAGCAATCAATATTTTCAAAACCCTTTAATTTGTTTTGTTATTTTTTGAACGTTGAAGCAAAAATGTCCGTCAGTAGAAATTGACAGTTTTTTTAATGAAACCTGTTCCTTTGCTGTCGAAAAACCATACCATTTTGAAATGTTTACATACGTATAATGCTGATGCCATTCTAAAATCATACCATAACATATATATATTCAGCATTTTAAGGGAAGCGACTTTAAAGTGAGGCTTAGCGCTAGAATAAATGATAGGGTGGGTACTCATGCGTAGTGTCGGACACCCTCAATTGTTTTGCCAAGCTGTCAATATTGTACTTTTTTTCGATAACATTGTTTATTCTCAGAAAACTTTTTCTATAAAGAAATTTTCTGATTATTTTATTCTTATATTAGACTAAATTGGTTTACTATTCTTCTGAAATCAGTGCTATTCATTTCGTGTGGGTATTGTCGGACGTCCATGCGTTATGTCGGACATCCATGGGTAATGTCGGACAGGCAGATTAAACACAACATAGTTTTGGCGATCTAGATGAGAATATGAAATAAGGCTGGGGATAAGGCGAGACTTTAATGTTAAGGTGGAAATGGTGATACTTTCCTGATTAATGTCTTTATTGAAAAGAAGGCTAAAGAATAATGTCCTTCGACGGAAAAGCCACGATTCTATTCGAACTCACATTATTCATTGCATTAAATAGGGCCATTTTCCTCGAAATTGGGTAAATCAAAATTTATTGACCACTCTATTTTCCATTAGCTGTCCGGCATTGCCCACGCGCACGTGCAGTATAGTTTGTCCAACAATGTTGGGGAATCTCAAAATCCTATGCTACCGAATCAAAATTAATTTCTTAATCATACAATCAATCATTTTATATAGTGAAAAAATAGCTTTGAGCATTCCCTGATCACTGTGAAAGGCGACATCTTGATTTCGAAGAGTAGAAAGTCAAGGGAATTTAGGCCCACTTACATCACTGAAATGCATTAAAAACGCAATGAATTTATTTAAATAGCGCAGAAAGCAATTAAGTTTCAAAAAGAGGAAATAACAAACATAAGACAAATATAGGCCGTGATCTGTAATGACCTACAGATGTCTTAGATACGGGTTTGAAAAAGCAAACATTTTAAAACATACTATTGAGCTTTACGTTTGACACTCTTCAGAGTATAAAACGTCGGAACATGTAAATTGTAAGCTGGGAAAAGTATATGCCATGTTTTAGGTCGAAATAGGCCAATCAGGTAAGCAATCACCTAACAGTAAAGGTTCCCCAATGAACAGATAAATACCCACACTAAAGACATCTGTTCATTATGAAACAGTTTCCAGAATGCCATTGTTTTCACAATTATCATAAAAAACAAACCGTGCTAATAAGGAACAATGTTTCCTAATTAGGATCTAGTTGGCAAGCAGTGTCACCTTGTGCTGTTGTTGAAGATTAAATGCTTTTAGGAAATCCTTAAAAATTTACTAAATTAATTCTTATCCGTTATATTATCAAAATCGAGCCAATAGTATTTTTAAATTTCAGAATATATATTTCTATCAAACACAGCATTGTCATGGCAATGTCCAAAGCTCAATGCCTTCAACTGCTTGGCACTAATTACAACACAATTACAATAATTATATTCCAAATACTATTTCTTTTTAGATGGGTCCTGATTCAAAATCGCCTAGGCCGCAGAGAACTCCTGGCGTTTTGTTTTTTAATCACTTCCCGAAGAACTTTCTACGGCCTTATGGCCGGGCAGAGGGTATGCCCTCGAAGGAGAAGACCCTCTCCCGGCTTCAACCGGAGGGATGCGAATGGCTAAGGCGTCCGCACGTTGCAGTTTCTGAGCTGGCTGCAACAATGCAGGGGAACACCGATCTTTTGAAAGAAAAGGCAGATTTTTTTACCACGGAGAGCTTGGCAAGTTTTTTCAAAAATATTCAGCCTTTTGTAACACAACTCACGCCATTCAATAAAGACAGTCCAATGAATCCAAGCGAAAACCAATGCAGGGACCTCCTGAAAACGATGCTTTCTACATCAGCTCAACTGGATAAACAGTTGGATACTGCTCTCGAAGTTGGATCTGCCCTCTTTATCTTGGCAATCCAATTCAAGGTTGCACAAGTACTCATATCCAACCCTGTGGATTACGCTAATAAAATGACCTTACATCCAAACCCTGAGCCAGCTTTCAAATATTCAAACAATCTGTTACATCTTATTCCACTCCTCCGCCAGTATTCTTCCATTTCGCAACCAACTCCGCCCGTTTCAAGTCTAATTGAAACACTACTCGATGAACTATCTTCATCATCTTCGTCCTCACCTTCATCAACCATCACAAAGCCAAAAAAGTCAAAGAAAAAGAAGAAGAAAAGATCGTACTCTCCAGAACCCGAAGAAGAACCTCCAAAAAAGAAAAAGAAGTCAAAAAAGAAAAAGGAGTCAAAAGAGAAAAAAGAGTGAGAACTTTAACTGAACTTAAGTTGTCGCAATTTCAATTCTTTCGGGTTTCGGGGTTGCAACAAAACATGGTTTGCGCCATTGGTGTACACTTTGGCGCAGGATTGGCTTGATAACGTTTTTTCGATTTTGAATGATATACACCAAGCCTAGAGAAAATTGTCCTGTGGTAAGCCATTGTTTCGCTAAATATTGTACCCATTGCTACGTCAAAAGGTAGGCCTATCCTTACAAAAGGGTACTCCATTGACGTAGACCAGTTCTTGTCACAGCCAATGCTGTTTACTTCAGGATGCTTAATTGTAAAGCTAGGTTTTCATGGAGCTGTATCTATGAAAACGTTGGGGAAAAGTTTCTGTTAAGCTTTGCGTTTATTAGTTTCCGTTGAGCCACTCTAAAGGTATCTTATTCCGAATTCATTGTCGTAGAGAAGAAACCCGTTGTGTAGTTGTATCGTCTGTATATATTTATAGCCAACCGTATATCAGAAATTAAGACAGAAAGTAAAAGCCTAAACAGGAATTCTAAATTATTTCTTTTAGATTAACGGCTCTTCCTAATTTATATGACAGTTTATAAAAATCATTCCCATAACATCAACCACATAAAATTTCGTCATATCATAATTTAGGACAATAATTTGACGTAGTTTCCTTCGACGAAATTTCAAGACAAAATTTTGGTCACGACGAAATTTTTTTCAGTTCTAAAATATTTACATTTCGAAAAATTAAACTATAATATGGGGTCAGGTATGAAATTTATAATAATCCACGTCGTTTTCATCGTCTTCTAATTTTAATAGTACAACTTTACTATTTCCTTTATTCGTTCAAGGTATTTTAGCTTTTTAACACAAATTTTGAACTCTACATGGAATTTCCAGGCTAACTTTTCCTACTGTAGATGGTCTTCTACTGTCCAATTCTTATATTTATACATATACTTTTAACGACGAAGCTCCTTTTTGTAAATGTACTTTTAAATGTCAAGATCAATGTGCCTTCTATCAGTGGATTTTTGTGAAATCGATTAGATAATTTTTTCTCGAAAAGCCGGGACAAAACAGTGTAGTCTGACAGTTGTTTAGTTATTTGTTTGCTGAAAACGATCAACACGGCCTAAAATTTCTTGACATTACCATCTGCTGAGGGTTGTGCTTTTTTCTTCTTCAAAGAGTATTGTATTTTGTTGTCTTTAGCAGAAAATGTCTTCGAAAATGGAGAGTTATTGCCTTTTTGTAGTAACGACCCCACTAATTCTGCAATTTGTAAATAACCTTTCGTTAATGTTGGCTACACTTTTAAGCTTGTTTACATAAATTTTGAGCTTTAAAATGTGGAGTTATCTGAATGGCATTTTCTTGTTATACTTTCTCAACTTTTTAATGTTGCGTAGGTTTGACTATCTAGATGTTTTTGAAATTTGCGTTAATTGCCAGGGGTGGCGCTTCAGATGGAAGCATTCTGCAGGTCTTAAACTAAAGGGATCTTTTCCTCAATTTATTCATTTTTGAGAATCTTTACTCATCTCGATGACGTCATTAAAGACCCAAATATATTTAATGATTTTTGAAACCCCCTCTCTTTAATCCCAACCTTATCGTATTTTATCTCGCGATTTTGTGGTAATAGCATATATGCTTTCGTTTCACAACATATAATCTCAGCGATGAAATAGTAAGGTTGCTACAGAAACAGCAAGGCAGTATGCCAAGAACTTTCAGAAATGAAGCATTCGTCAAAGTCATCTAAGGTTAAGGAAAGGCTTACCTCTGATAAAGTGATTATTATCTAGAACACCACGTGTTAAAATCGAGGTTTTTCATGATTTTCTATAAAAAGTATGGGCAAGAATTTTATTACAGACAGGCAGGTTTTCAATGCCAACTTCATCAATCCACCAAAAGCAAGAGACATTTATCCGAGGATACTTATACGAAAGTTAGTTTTAAATCAATAAGGTGAATATGATGTCACAAAAGTTGAAAGTTATTGCCCAATAGAAATTGCAATTGGTTAAAATGTTATCCTATTTTACATCTGAAAAGTTTCGCACCATTTGATCAAAAATATAAATATGTTTTTATAAATATAAATTTATACGTTGGTATGGGAAGTAATCATACCAACGCAAAAGAAACCACTTTTCGATTCTTCACTTCAAATGTTTGAGTTTTGTTTACTAACATACATTAATTCACATTATCAAGATTTGGTAATTGAACATCATGAAAGAAAACAATTATAGTTTAAAGGCTGTACACGAAATCGAAAGACCAATTGGAGGGAAACCCATTGCCTCTGTTCTAAGGACAAATTTCTTAAAAGTATTAGATCGTTTACATCCACCACTCCAAAGCAAAAACATCACCATTTAACAGCTGAACAATTCGTATTTGCTTTGAAGGACTTGTTTCCTAAATGAGAATTACAACGATCAGACCACAGAAGTACACAATGAACAGGGAACCCGGAGCACATATTTGAGTGGGGGCTCTAGAAAAGTGGGGGGTGGGGCTTCTTATATAGCTTGCCACCATTTTCTGTTATGCCACAACCTTGATATCATACTTTAGCGAAAAAGTAGGGGGGGGGGGGTCGGCTACGGTTTGCCTAGTGGGGCTTCCGTACCTCTGCACAACAAAACAAAATCCATCTAAGCCTTCGTCTTCAAAAGTAAAAAAAGGTGTATAAAAGTAGAAGTAATAAAAAAGTAAAAAAAGTGGGGGAGGGGGGGGGGAAAGAAATGTTGGAACAGTGTTCAAGATGCACTCTTAATTTTTCAAATTACGGATTCATGCATCCAGAATAAAGATAAATATCTATCATGATTAGTTAAATGTCCACTCTCTTTAAAATATATAGCGTTTGGGTCAATTTTGAAAAGCATTTGTGATTTTGAAAAATGAATATAACCCCTCCCGTAAGCAGAAGTGATTACAAAAGAGGACTTTTACCAACAGTTTAAGATTCTTTCTTACAAGGGGGCAATTGCTCGAGGAAAAAGAGAAGTTGTAAATGTAGAGTATCCAGTTGATAAAACGACAGAGCTGAAATTAATGATGCCTACTCCCAATTTTGGAAAATTTTATCCTACACCGGGTCATCCAGGTACCAAACAAAATTATACCGATAACTACTTTTGGTATTTTCCACCAATAAAGAAAATCGAAGAAAAACATTTAGCTGCAGAAAACATCGTTGAATACGAACATATTGGAAATTATGAGTCTCCTATCGTATGCACAATACCAGCTCCGGTTTACGGTTTTGGTTATAAAAATCTTATCGCTGACGAAAATAGTCGTGTTACATCTTTTGTAACTCAATGTACTCAACTTGTGCTTCAAATACAAACCAGGCGACAGTTTGCAATCTAAAATCAAAACAACTCAATTTTTGAAATGTTATATTCAAATTCAAGACAGCTTTGGCGATTTGGCATTTCCTGGAAGATTAATTCTTGATTTTCTTTTACGTAAAATCAGTTGATTAAGTACACTCTTTTTTTGAAAACACACTTTATAAGAATAATGAGGCTCGATTTGCCCAAAAAGTAAGAACAAGGCTAGAACATGCTCAGCTTCAGCTGAGAAATTTGAAAAAAAACAATTCGCATTTGAATTTAAAAGCACTCAACTACTGTACCGACATTCTCTTGACAAAAAACTTTGATGAGTTTGTCCATAGAGGCTAGCAGTCATTGATTTGTTTTTAAACTTTACCCAGTAAAACGTCTTAGAAACTATATACAGCATGAAATTGTAGAATTAAGGCCCTGAACGCACTGATTTCTAACATAAACTCATTATCTTTGTCAAAATAGAAAATCGAAAATCTTTTTTCAAGATTGACAAAGATAATCCGATTTCTCCTTGAAAACTCTGGCGCACTGCATTTTGTGTAGGAAATGGTTGTTTGCTTGCGGACCGCAAGGTTGCGGTTTACCTTCCTGGAGCACTCTTATTTAAGTCAGTGCTCAATGCAGGTAACATTAAGATAAAATAATGGAAGAGGAAGATGTATTTCAATTCGTAATTCAGGAAAAATAACTACATCTCGCGTACCTACAGCTAGGGATATAAGCATAGAAGTCTCCCGTTCGGGAGAAATGTATCCTGTTCAGGAGAATTCAAATCTTTGGCTGCTCAAATTTTTTCTCCCGATCGGGAGAATTTTTTCTTTTAATGGCTATTTTATGACCAAGAAGACTTAGGCGGTTTTTTCTGATCAAGTATTTGAATTCTGCGTGTCAAAAACGGGGGTTTAATGAACAAATATGCATGCTGGAAATTGCGAGCAATTGGAGAGTTCAGTTTCTGATGACGTCATTCGTGAGGTGTAGTTCATGTTCATGCTCTCTCTTCGGTGGCAGTACCACTAAGTCAGAAAAAACTACTAACTTTACAGTGTAATGTATGTGTGTATTTGCTTTGAACGTCCGAAGATTTGTCAAAAATTGGCTGAGAAACAGTAACAGTCAAATAAGGTTATAAAGAATTTCGTATTACCAATTTCTTACTCTTTGCTTCACTTTTCATAACTTCATCTTCTTCAATAGTTAATCTCCTCATAGACATTGTATAAGCAAGATTGTAAGTTATCAATTCTTTACTAACAGCTGATGATGTTGGATTATGGATTTTGCTCGTAAAATCGATTGATTAGATTCTTTAACCAAATCGTTTACCAATTCTTTAACAACTGCTTCAGAATGCTGTTCTTCAGTGTCACAACAATCCCTTCTTTTGAGACACAATAATCCAAAAAAAAATTCATTACAATTCAATGAAATATTGTCAATAAGATTTTCCAATTTTCTCTTTCTCTAGAATGAATAACTTCATTTATATGCAGATTATAATCTGTTCCTAGTCCTTCAAATGCTTTGGGGTCTTTGTAATAACAATCATCGCTTTCTACAAAGTCGTCAAAATCATTTGCACGTTTTTTTATAAGAAAGTATTTTGTGAAAAAGTAAAATGCTGTATAAGAGTGTTGTTGAAATATGTTTACTTTCTGATTTCATTTTCCCACTTGAAAACCCATTTGAAATTATGGCGGGAAATGAATCACGTGACACCGTGACGTAGATTGTGATAATTTGTTATTGCTGCTACTGGTATAGAGTGCAATATTAACGTTTACAACACGCTTGTAAACGAATACAGTTCGTCTGGACCTGTCGCGTCGTGTTTCGTAAACTCTCTATCAATTACAGGAAAATTCTGAGTTATCACAATGTACGTCATAGGGTCACGTGATAAAAAGCAAAATCGCGCCCCCTGCGCCTCCTGATTAGAATTTTTTGTTCCAAACCAGGAAAAACTTACTTCTAATAGATGATCTATAAGTTAATGAAAAGAAAAGATAGGGTTAAAGTGTGTCACTTGTCCTTTAAGAAAGTTCAGGGCCTGATCTTTAAAACCTAAGAAAGTTGAAAAATTCAGATAATCAAAGTTTCAAAGGAAATGGTGGTGTAAGAGTGAAATTGTTCAACAATACAGTTATGTGCTGAACAGGAAACGACGAATACAGTATGACATGTGGAGTTTTGAGAAATATAGCATATTTATAGCATTTCATCTTCTCCATCTCTGCGCATGCTTAGTAACGTAAAACTTTCAAATTTTACGTTAAGAAAGTGTTAAGAAAGTTTTAGTGCTGAAATTAGGAAATAGCTAAGAAAGTCTGAGAGCTGGGCTGAAAAAAACCTTTTTATAAAAGAACGTTTATGTCATCCAGTAACATCGCTTTACCCGCCAATTGTTTAGAAACATAAAACGCGAAAATTTCATCTTCCCTGTCCAATGTGTTAAAATCAGGAGTTTTACGCACAGAAACAAGCGATTTAAGATAAATTCATCCAAAACATAACGGCGATTACAACTCGAACGAAAACTTAGACGAAGTAAATTCTTACAGCTCACAGCATGACAGCGTGCAATAAAAGCGGAAGTAAACGTCATTGTTCGTAACTAAAAAATAGCTCTATTTTTTGTATATTCTAACACCCTCACTCAAAAAATAGATTATAACAATTAAAAAAAGGTTGTTCATGAGTCTCTGCTCAAACTCTGTTTGTTATGTTCATCATCAATCGAAATTTTTCAAACAGTGTTCTCGGTAGTGCCTTAGTGAGCATATCAGCAATCATATCGCTAGAAGGACAGTACTTTAAAATTAACTCACCGTTCTCCACTTTTTCTCTGATGAAATGATGCTTGATGTCTATGTGTTTTGTTCTAGCATGAAACTTCGGATTTTTGGACATCGCGATTGCTCCTTGATTGTCTTCCTGAACAACTGTAGGTTCTTCTTGAGTAAAATTCAAGTCAGCAAGTA